TTTTGTAGTTGCTGTTTGAAGCATTAATCTCATTGTGACTGGTATTTTAATTCTTACTGCAAAAACTGTAGGCAAAACAAAAGTTCATTAAAGCATTGCACGTTTATAAGTTCTGACATATTTTCTTGATTATGGTTAGGCGGGAACGCAACGCAATAAGCAGATCCCTTACTCGTTAAAAGCTGAACTGTAACTTTTTCAGTCACGAGTTACTTTCATTTGTTATTCGGGAGCTCTCGTAAGAAATATCCCACTTTTTTTTGTTAGTTTGGCCAACTCTTCTCGTGCGTTTCAGAAGGGGGTTTGCGATGTGTTCCGGAATGGACAGCAAACAACTACGGGAAATGGGCAAGCGGATGGTAGATTTTGTCGCTGATTACTGGGACTCGCTGCCTAATCGGGAACCGTTACCTTGCCTAACTCCCGGATTTATCAAGTCTTTTGTAACTTAATGTTGCCAAGATTTTGAAAAACCAAATTTTACTAACTGTCATAGACCTTTTAATTTTTCCTAATCTTCAAAAAAGCTTGATAGCCAAAGTGCAATTACCTGTCGAAAATTCCGCTCATTTACTTCTACTGTTTTTTTATTGTGAAAATGACTTATTGCTCTTTGCGACATTTAGGTGCCAGAAGCTCCACCAACAGAGATAGAAAACTGGGAAGACATCTTTAAAGATATTGAACCGGTTGTTCTTGCCGGCAATACGCACTGGCAACACCCAAATTTTTTTGCTTATTTTCCTACTGCATGCTCATACCATTCAATTTTGGGCGATATACTGAGTTCTGGATTGGCAAGTGTTGGATTTTCTTGGGTAAAATTCACTTTCTTTCACAATCCATGTAATAATGAAAATAATGAATTAGCTCTTGAAAAAGAAAAAAATGTTTTATTCTGTAACGGTAGATTATCTGATCTTGTAGCTCTTTCGAAACTTTTTTCCGATTTGGTTTGTATTGATGAGATGAAGTTTCAAAAGTTTGCGAAAGTTAATACAGTTCGTCACAATTCAAAATTTTAGTTTCACATTTTCTCGTTGCAATATCATTTAGTAATCAAAGTTGGTAGAGCCCGAAAAAAATTTGAAGGAACGTTTTTAATTGTTTGACATTAATTATTAAAGGAACTTAGCTAAAAATAATGGTTTCTTTGACGTTTTCTTGAATATCTCTCTGATGATAGTTTTGCTTCTTCATAGAGATAGGCACAAGTAATGTAACTAAAATAGTTTCAATAAACAGTCGTCTTCACCGTCGATGACTGAGTTGGAGCTTCGAATGACAGACTGGTTAGCCAAAATATTGCATTTACCTGATGCATTTTTAAATGACAATGATCTACCGGGAGGTGGCATCATTCAGAATACAGCCAGTGATTCCACGTTTATTGCTATGCTTTCTGCCCGAGCTCGGGCTGTCGAGGTAAAATTGCTTAATGTTCAGTATGCTAATAAGACTAGAAAAGCCTTCATTTATCATCTTCATTACTGATCAAAAAAACATGAAAAAAGTGTTTAAAAACAATGTGAATAAATGTTGTGCAGAGTAACTGCAAATGACCTCATTGAGAGAGAAAGTGCGTTAATTGTGATAATAATTATTGGCTGAAGGAAGATTTTGCTTGTCAAATCATGTCTTTACATAGAAAAATTTGATTATATAAAGATAGATGCTTTTGATTTAACCATAATCTTTTTACAGAACCGAAATATTTTAGATGTAGCAGTAAAATTGATGTAACAAGATGTCACATCCGGGGAAATGAAAAAACCAAAAAAACTTAATAAGATTAGAACTAAAAAGTGAGGTAGATTGTAGGAGACAGTCCTGACTGTCAATTTGTTTTGGTTAATTTACCGTAAAAATAGTTTTTGTGATCTTTATAAGCAACAGGGGCCTTCAACAAAGCATTTCTCGGCCAAGTTCTATTCCTTTAAATTCAACTTTTTTCGATTTCTGTTTTGAATAATAGCGATTTTTAAGTAGAACTGAATGTAGACCATTTTAAACAAATAAATTTTAGCTTGAAAAACTTATTTTATTGGTGTAGTTCTTTTATTACTGAAAATGTAAAAATTTTCTTCATTTTTATGAGTTGTAAGCTTTTTCAAAGTTTCTCGTTTTAAAGCCTGTATTTATCGTTTAACATATGTAAACGGTATTGGTGCTTGTTAAAAGAATATAGTTCTAAAATTGACTTTATGGTAAGCATCTGGGCTTTTGCATACAACTTTCTTACTGCTCCCTAACTTTACTTTTAAATCACTTAATTTTATCTGAAAAAGTATTCAATTACAAAGTGGCTTCCAGTCCACCAATATGAAACACTAGAAAGTAACTTAGAGCAAATAAGCATTCCGGAATATGAAACACTGAAAAACCTGTAATATCATCAACCCAACAATAATCGCCTGCCTTTATGAAAAAAGCGCTTATGTGTTACTTTAATATTTCAACTTCAAAATTTTTTCAAATGCTTAGTACACTCTATTCTACATTTAAAACAGATTACTTTTTGTTAGAGAGTTATCGGACAATTACAACAAATGAAGTCAATTTTTTTTT